CCTTCCTTCCTTCCTCCCTCCCTCCTTCCCTTTCCTTCCTTCCTTCCTTCCTTCCTTCCTTCCTTCCTTCCTTCCTTCCTTCCATTTATAGGAATAAATTCCAGTAGTTCATTTGGTTCATAATGGTTCATTTGGTATGTAATAGCATCTGAGCAAACCAGGTTTTAAAAGCAATATGAAGAGCACTGGATGGTGTATGGAATTTCTGAATCACTATATTGTACAACTGATACTAATACAACACTGCATGTTAACTATACTAGAATTAAAATAGTAAAATGTGATTTTAGGGTATGTAAATAGAAGTCTTGTGTCCAAAATATGGGAAACTAGTCCGACTTTATTCCACACTGGCCATTCTACTTCTGTGGTATTACACCACAGTCTGATTTAATGTTGAAAACTTACAGTTGATTCATAGGGGAATCATCATATAGTAGAGGTGTGAATACCTGGAGTTAAGAGAAAATTGGAAAAGATTGTAGAAGGTTGTATTGGAAAAGGAAAGAGATGGGTAAATTTATAGAAGTCTTCCGATACTTTTGAGAGATTCTGTTATCTTCCAGGGGAACTGGCTGCAAATGTTCACACCTAACTTGGATAGCCAACTCTGGTGGGAAAACACCCTTCATCATTCTCCAGTTAGTGGAATGGTGAACACCAAGTGACCTCTAAGATTCCTTCTGACGCTAAAAAAAATCAACAGTTGTTAGCTTACATCTTTGTTACTTTTCTTTTAAATTTATTTTTGTTAATGGACTGATATAAGTATTAGGGTTTTGATCATTAAGTGAACACTTAATTGTTCACAATATTACTTTCACACCAAGTTTGGTTTTTTTTGTTTCCTTAAAGGCCCTCTTTCTTTCTGCCCTCCCATCCTGAACATTTTAGCTCTGAAGCTATAAGGGTTTCTGCACTGAAGACCCATGGTAGCCTGGAGTTAGGAGGCAGAGCCTAAGTGGGATTAGAAGGGTATCCATATGGCAGGGCAGCCCACCATAATGAATCATAGCCTGAGCAGGGTGAAGAGGGCTTCTAGAAGTGGGTAAGGTGGTGGGTTGGTACCTTAGGATCCAAACATATTGAGAATGCATCCAAAATGAAAAAGTGATTTCTTTTTTTTTACAAATGAAACTTCAATAGTAGAATTGGAAAGAACCTTTGCCTGTTCCTCATTACTTTGAATACTGGATAGATTTGACCTATAACCAAACTCTTCTAGGTTTCCTTAAGAAACGGTGATGTTGGGGGCGCCTGGGTGGCTCAGTTGGTTAAGCGTCCGACTTCGGCTTAGGTCATGATCTCATGATTTGTGAGTTCGAGCCCCGCGTCGGGCTCTGTGCTGACAGCTCGGAGCCTGGAGCCTGCTTCGGATTCTGTGTCTCCCTCTCTGCCCCTCCCCCACTCTCACTCTGTCTCTCTCTCTCAAAAATAAATAAGCATTTAAAAAATAATTTTTTAAAATAAAAAAAGAAATGGTGATGTTGGCCAAATTCTTGAAATCTTGATGTTACGTTTAGTGTCAAAGGTAAAAGAATCAGAAGCATATTCATCTTCCTGCTTTTCTGTTTATTGCTTGATAGATGCCACCAGTAGGATTTACACACTATGGACCAAGGCTTATTCTGGTGGAGGAGACTTCAAAATTCTCTCCAGATAGGATAGAATATTTCCTTCAGGGATACTGATATGAATTTTATCAAATTAAAACACAGACTTAGACCATATGTATAAAAATGTAGTTGATTACCCCTCATGTATGTCCTCATAATGGGCTTTCATTAATATTCCAAGTGTAAGGAAATCATCCCAGTACAAAAGATTAACTAGTGTTCCTTTTTTATATTCAGAATAACGTTTTGGAGCTGTGGTCATTATTTGATTTCCTCATGCCAGGATTTTTGGGGACTGAACGCCAGTTTGCTGCTCGATATGGTAAACCTATATTAGCAAGTAGGGATGCTCGAAGCTCTAGTCGAGAACAAGAAGCAGGTATGAAAACTATATAATTATATACTATACAAGTGAATATAACTTATTCCTATCTTTTTTGAAGCTGTTTTCTCTTACTCTTTAACAGGTGTTCTTGCAATGGATGCACTCCACCGCCAAGTCCTGCCGTTTCTTTTGAGAAGAATGAAAGAAGATGTTTTGCAGGATCTTCCACCCAAAATTATTCAAGACTACTATTGTACTCTTAGTCCTCTCCAGGTTAGAAATCCAGTGATTGTGGTTGTTGGTGGTATGTTTATTAGGAGAGTGCTTTGAATAAGTCACAAAAATATTGAATAAAGGGGATTAGACTTTGGCTTTTATCACTCCAATCTAGCTTCAACTTTGATAGACTTTAGGACTATTCTGTTCCAAAGAGAGAGAGCTAGGACCTGAATGAATCTCTTTGGACATGTGTATATACATTTGGGTAAGTGCATTTGAATATGGCATTAAAACAAAAGCAAGTATCATAGTTGCTTTCTTATATGTCAAATTAATCGGAAAAGTTGCAAGGTTAATCTGATGATGAAATGAGCCAGTGTTTATAAGGGCCAGAAATCTGCCTGTAATGTCATATCTTCACAACAGCATTATAGGTATTGCCAGTCCCCATTTTTGCAAACAAAGAAAGGAAAGTTCAGAAAAATTAAGTAAGTTGCTCAAGATTATATAGCTAATATATATCAGGACTGAGTTTCAAACCTGGGAAGTGGGACCTCACCCCTCTAAAAGTATTAACTGCATTGCCAGTAAATTTTTGAAATAAGACTGAGCTTTTGCACAGATCTAATTTTGTACAGAGACTATTATCAAAGGAATTTATTGTATGCCTTTCCTTATATAGTATTTTGTAAGGGGAAACCATCCCTTGTATTAGGGAGACATGGCCTATATAATCAGAATTTTCTTTTAACCTTACGTTCTGGGTTAGTATGCATCAATCCATTTCAGTATTTTGATTTAGTATGGTAAAATGAATAAAAGATAAACAGGTACACCCAGAAACTTCTTTCTTCTCCTCCCTCTATAACTTGAGTTTAGAGCTTAGCAGCACACTAATCTAGATGCTGAGAGCTATGTGATCACTTATATTATCTATGTCATATGTCTGGGCCTCCATTTCTCATGTATAAAAATTGGACTAGTATTTTTGAAAGGAATATTTTAGGAGCAATGAGCTGAAGAGTTTTTGAAGTAAATACAATAAAGAAAAGGTGCCATATGGAAAAAAAAAATCCATGGTAGGGGTGCGTGGTTGGCTCAATCAGTAGAGCATGCAACTCTTGATCTCAGGGTTGTGAGTTCACACCCCATGTTGGGTATACAGATTAAAATGAAATCTTTAAAAAAGAAAATCCATGGTATATGCCAGTGGTATAAAACATTTAAGTGGCCTGGAGGAGGAGCTGGGAGGGAAGTGACATTTGGCTTTACTTAGCATCCACAGGTTTTTATATTCTGACTTCTATTCTTTAGCACTCTAGATTTTCTTTTCTTTCATATTATTTTAGCATGTACAAGGCAGGAACCAGGACCCTTAGGTAATGTTTTAACTTTTATGAGTTCTCCTTTTAGGTAGCAGTAGTATTCTTTTACTTCTCTGTACTTTTTTTTTTTTTTTTAAAGTTTTATTTACATAAGTAATCTATATACCCAATTTGGGGCTTGAACTCATGACCCTGTGATCAAGAGTTGCATGCTCTACTGACTGAGCCAACCAGGCACCTCAGCAGAAGTATTTTTTAAAACTTGGTCTCTTGGAATGTACCTATAGGGTACCACAAAACTTCACTTAGAGAAGATTTTCTCATTTACTTGTAAGGATTCAGGTTCTCTTTTATTGGTAATGTATTTATCTTCCTCAACAGAGTGGAAAAATTGAGTCTAGGACTATTTGACTAGTTTTTAATATTTTAGCATCCAAGCTTAATGTGCTACACTTGTTTTCTAAATGTAATTTTAAAGGAATTTACCAAGATGCAGTGGATAATTTGTAATCATTAGTGAAGCATAGGTATTATAATTTATTTAATGAGGGCTGGTTTAAATTATTGCTCTTACTGTCATTTGCTAGCTATATTTTTGAACAATTGAAAATAAATATACTTCTTTTGCGGGGGCAATTTTACAGGTTCAGCTCTATGAGGATTTTGCTAAGTCTCGTGCTAAGTGTGACGTTGATGAAACAGTTTCTTCAGCTGCACTCTCTGAAGAAACTGAAAAACCAAAGCTTAAAGCCACAGGCCATGTATTCCAGGTATAGATTATAATCTCTTTTTTAATTCTTCAAGAATCATGTTCTTCAGTGCAGCAATTTTTACATGGAATACTGAAATGTGGGTTTATTTAAATTTTTTTCAGTATTGTGTATACATTCTTGAAAATAGAGAAGAGAACTAATTTATTTCCATAGTTATAATTAATAAGTAATTTAATACTAAAATATACAAAATGCAATATTTTTTGTATATTGCCAGTAAAGTTTTTTTTTTTTTTTTAATTTTTTTTAACGTTTATTTATTTTTGAGACAGAGAGAGACAGAGCATGAATGGGGGAGGGACAGAGAGCGAGGGAGACACAGAATCGGAAGCAGGCTCCAGGCTCTGAGCCATCAGCCCAGAGCCTGACGCGGGGCTCGAACTCACAGACTGCGAGATCGTGACCTGAGCTGAAGTCGGATGCTTAACCGACTGAGCCACCCAGGTGCCCCGCCAGTAAAGAGTTTTAGAGAATATTTTGCTTTACATTAAAAAAAATATTGGAATGCCTGCTATAGGGCAATAACTTTTGTAAGCTCAGGGGTTAACTAAAGCAATGGAAAAAACAGACTCCTTCCCTAGAGTATGGGGTTATGCAGTATAAGAGTTGGGTAGATTGGTTTCTAGTAGAGAGATCAGGGGCAGCCTCAATGAGAAGGTGACACCTAAGCAGAAATCTGAAGGAGGATTGAGGCATGCAGATACGTGGAGGGGAAGCGATTCCAGACAGAGGATACCAAAAGTACAGAAGTCATGAGACAGGTGCTACCTCATGTGCTCAAGGGAATTGCAAATCAAAAAGATAAAGTGTCAGCTTAGGCTTTCTGTCCCTTTTGAAATATTCCACAATAGAACCCCCCCCCACTTCCCTTGCCACCAATAAATTAAATACTGTAACATTTTTAAGACAGAAGAGGGGTAAAGGGCTTATACCTCTCCCAGTTTCTATTATCGTGTCCAGCCGTTTCTTGAGCCTTGTCAGTGGAGCTTTTTGTTTGTTTTTCATTTTTTTTAATGTTTATTTATTTTTGAGGGAGAGCGAGAAAGCGAGAGCGAGCGAGCAGGGGAGGGGCAGAGAGAGGGAGACACAGAATCCAAAGCAGGCTCCAGGCTCTGAGCTGTCAGCACAGAGCCCAATGCAGGGCTTGAACTCACGAACTGTAAGATCATGACCTGAGCCGAAGTCGGGCATTCAAGTGACTGAGCCACCCAGTGCCCCTAGAGCTTTCCAATACAAAATTCAAAACCCACATCATAAGCCAAGTAAAAGGCAAGAGAGAAAGAATGTGGCAAAATTAGAGAAAAGAAAGAAGGACCCTATAGGGTTCTGATTCTTAAACACAACCACTTGAAATAACCACCTTGCTCTGCCTTCTCCTCTCCCTGACTTGCTGAATTAGAATACTGTGTAGGGGAGAGATATGCAGATTTATAAGGTCCTCAAGAAATTTTTCTACCCACTGAAGTTTGAGAAACCCTTAGGAAATCTTTAGGAAATGTTGCCTTATTCCAGAAGCATCTGTAAGCATTATCCCACTTTGGGCAGGAAAGAGGTCTTTCTGCCATGAGAAGTTCATTGTCTAGTGAGGGAGAGAGACACAAATTGTACATTTAATGCAATAAATGCTCTCATACACTTTACACAAGAAGCACAGATGAAGGCGTCACAGATGAGACATTGAACTGATTCATGAAGAATGAGTAGGAGGAGCAAGAAGAGGACACAGGGCATTTTCTATGGATAGAGTAGAAATAGGAAAAGTTACTAAGATGTAGACATTTGTGGTATGTATGGACTTGCATATACTTTTTCCCCCCTTAAAGGCATTACAGTACTTACGTAAACTGTGCAACCATCCAGCATTAGTCTTGACACCTCAACATCCAGAGTTCAAGAGTACTACTGAAAAACTGGCAATTCAGAATTCTTCTCTTCATGATATTCAACATGCCCCTAAACTCTCAGCTTTGAAACAAGTAAGTAGGTTTCATGAATGTTCGATGTGTGTTACACATTCTTGATCTGTAACACTGTATAAATATACTTTTCCAAAATAGTACTGATGTATATGCCATTTCTTTTATTTTTTAATTTGGTTCAATTTTTGGTACAGCTTTTTTAGAAACTGTGGTAAATATGTATAGTATAATATATACCATTACTTTCTTCTAACCCCTGGTAACCTCTAGTCCACTTTATATCTGTATGAATTTACCTGTTCTAAATATTTAATGTAAGTGGAATCATACAATATTTGTACTTTTGTGACTGGCTTATTTCACTTGGTTTTCTTTTTTTAGTTTATTTTTTTTGAGAGAGTGCGTGCCTGTACGTGCATGAACAGGGGAGGGGCAGAGAGAGAAGTAGAGAATCCCAAACAAGATCCACACTATCAGTGTAGAGCCTGATGCAGGGCTCATTCTCATAAACCATGAGATCATGACCTGAGCAGAAATCAAGAGTTAGACACTTAGCTAACTGAGCCACCCAGGCACCCCTCAATTGGTTTTCAAGGTTCATTTGTGTTGTACCATGTATTAGTACTTCATTTTTATAGTTGAATAACATTCCATTATTATTATTATTATTATTATTATTATGTATACACCACATTTGTTTAGTCTTTTTTTTTTTTTTTTTTTTTTTTTTTTTTTTTTTTT